ATCCCTGGAACTCTTTACCGGCAGGTGTAGCCCTGGCACCGTCTGTAAACACCTTTAAGCGAAGGCTGGACAGTCATGCAGCGACACACGCACTGCGTCTCAATAGCCTTTAAAACCCCAAACATTATTCAAGAGTAGACAACTAAATCCGTCGTTTTACTTCTTTACATTCTCTCTTCTCTTACTCTTCTGACTACTACACCTACTATTATTGATATTATATACATATGTTTCAACTTCAAATTTAATAAGCTGTCTGTTTTTACTTTTTCTGTCTTTTAGTCTGAATAACTTCACTAATTATATCTATTACTATTATCTCTTTTCTTTTGAAGACGATACTGGACGACTAACTGGTGAAAGGATCAATTGCCTTCACAGGAGTAACAGTCTTAACACACCTCATACTACAAACAATATATTATTAATCCTAGCACTACTCCTTTTGGAGTCAACGTAGGTACCACAGTCGAGTGGTGGAACGAACTACACAGAAGTTTTCCGAAGATTAGGAACCTTTACCTAACAATCAAGAAGCGAGAACAAAGAAATCGAATTGCTTATACTGGCTCGTAAAAACGATATTGAATATTTCTGGATTTGTATAAATTTTGACCTTGACGCCCATGACAACGGCTTGATCCAATTCAAACTCGTAGGTTTTTCGTTAAATGACACATGTCATATAAGGACAGTCTTCTTATGTGTCCCATATCTTTCTAAGCCAGTCTGATAACCGAAGTTAAGCTCCACCAGCCATCCCGATAAAATCTACAGTGTTATACCAATGGCTCTGAACAACTGATCAGAATTATTGGATAAAACTTGTCATGATTGACGTTATGAAGCTACAGTTGAATAGCAAAAGTAAGGTAGTTTCTGTGGAAGCTTCGCATTACCCTACCTAACAAAATCTTTAGGTGCAGTGTAGATTCCATATTAGTTTGTTTATTAGATATATCACACAGTCAAACAGTATTATTTACTGGATGGCGTTTCGAACAAAATTTATTGTTCATAATCGTACCAAACTAATATGGAATTACTTACTACCACAGTGCCCAAGTTTTACACGTATATTAATATGACTTATGGTCTTCCTGTACGAAGACTTATCAATAAACTCACTCGACTTTCACAAACTGGTGCACTGTAGATAGTGTGAAATAATGGGGCACTTTCTGCAGTGGACCCGATGTTTTCCCCTACAGTCATTGCAGTGTGTTCTGTAATGTGCAGCAAACCTAGCTGAGCCCAACTAGCATGAGACCTGGATATTGTACGCACAGACCTTTCGACTAATTGTTTAATCCAATATATGTAGAAGTAAGGCGGAGGTAATACTTTTGGCATGTTCATAGATGCACAGTTATTTACCAATAACGCTATCCCTCCATTAGAAAACTAGGATTATAAAATGTTTAACTTTTTACGTAAAATATGACAGCACTACTAATTGCAGCGGGCTACCGAACAGATACAAAGCAAACATGTCCTAAGTTATTTTCGGAAGCGATCAACTTTACTGAATTGAGCGTCCCCAAGCTTACAGTAATGCTGAACGATGCGTGAACAGTGCGGTTTAACAATAGAGTCCCAGGAGTGTGAACGCACGAGTGACCTTCAGCTGACCAATCATAAAAATGAGGAATGTCTGCTCAAAAGTGATGTATATCGACAAAAAAAACGCATTAAACAGGTTATCTTTCTCTAACATGGCTTAAAAATACGTCCTAGTTACAACGAGGAGCATCAGTTGCTAAGTTAGATTAGTTTCTGTATATGTATTCACCGAGATGACTACAGATAAACTGCTTTTATAGCACGTTTATTTCTCTCATCCTGCTTGCAGTCTTCCAAAAAAGCCCTCGGTTGAACTGTTATGGTTTTCAGCAAGAGGATAGACGACTACTTACCAGGAAAACGTGGATAATAAAACAAATTAAAACAAAAGACATAAACTATAAATTTATCCCTAATCTTAACCATAAGCTTAATCCTGACCCTTATCCAAACCGTAATTCTAACCCTGATCCTAAACCTTATACCAATACTTACCTTAACCCTAACAAGCTATTAACACATTGTCCAAACAGTACTTAAAAACGTGATCTGGGTGAAATTTGCTCCGAATTTGGTGGATAGTGTTGATATTTCAGCATTATAATGACAGATGCCGTTAGCCAACGACTAGCACGCGTTCAAGATCACTGGAGCGTTCACACTCTTGGGACGCTATTGTTGAACTTCGCTGCTAAATGAACATTCTGAGTCCTTAAAAAACCTGTTTTGCACTGACTTAATGCGGGCAGTGCTCAAAGATTTTTCTGGATGCTTCACTAATGCGCTAATTGTTGAAGTGATGCCATTCGGTGCAGAGGTCATTGTAATGTTGCCGAAAAAATATTTGGTAGACACTGAGTTACTGCAGCTAATGCTAAAAAATAGCGAAATTAGTGAGAGTTATATGAATAGATAGTTCAAAGTGCTATTTTATCCCCATTTTCGAATCACTTCAAAATCGAATATGGAAAAAACCGTTAGTCTAGAAGTTGATAGCACTGATTCACGATTATCGTAAACTTGGGTCATAGTGTTGCTACTAGTCGACATCGAAAGCAGAAGCACAGTATCCTTACCACAGGTTTGTTCCATTAATTTCACTTTCAGAAGTCAAACTGGTGCAAACCTTTGTACCGGAATCCTGAATCGACTTCAATGTTGGGTTGGTTGCAACCAAAGTGGACCACACATGTTGTTACACTGACGAGCTTTTCTTCAGCTCAATTGAAAACACCACGACTATGATTGCATTGGGAAATCATATTTATAATCTAAGCCAGGCATTACTAATACCCATCAATCCTGTACAAAGCCTCTAAATCAAGAATATTAACTGCTTAACACAACTGTTTCTTACTCAGATCAATGTTGTAAAGAGTGAGACTGTGGATATCCTCACATCTACAAACCAAGTATATGTACCGCATTAATTCTAATAGGTCTTTCTTCAAGCTCAACGTATGATAAAACACTTAGTTATTTCTTCTGACAATTGATTTTCTAGGCAGAAAACTTAACATAGATTGTTTCTAAAGAAATGTGGAGCGAAAGCCTCTACAATTCTATCCACTTCCCATCAAACTTAAAACATTAATTATCCAGTCAACTTCTTAATGTAACACATTCATAATTCAACTTTATAATTGGTGTTGCATTGTGAGTAATACACAGACAGTTACAACAGTATTCATGAACTTGATTGTAGAATGAAAAATGACATCAGCTAGAAAACCGAAAGCCAAACTTACAGAAGAGGCATTAGTTGAATATAAAGCACAATTTGACTTATTAGATCAAGATAATACAGGGAAAATACCCGTTCCAGAAGTAACTTTGTTGATGCGAAGAGTAGGTTTGATGCCTTCAAACATAGAGGTTGAGGTGAGTCTAGATATTTGCTGCTTTATTTAAAAGTATACACTTTGAAAGTTATAAAATGCAGTGACAATAAATCTGCTTAGTAATTATACTTTGTAGACAACTAGCTTCGTCAAAAAAATAAAAAAATAAGGTGAATTATGCTACTTTTACTAGAATAAGGTGGCAGTCAGAATTACTTGATATCGAAATTCATCAGAGACCTTTGCCTGGAGAAGAGTATGGAGTAAAACCAAGTGAAACTACTCATCGACAAACCTATCCTAATCTGAAAGGTGACTTAGATGTCTGTGTAAAGATAAAAGTGCAAAGGTACATGTAGACACTAGGGAAATACGGTTTCATTTGTCTGAAATAAGACACTGCGACACAGTATTAATAAGTAGAAGATATTTTGAGCAATTTATCGGTATTGTAGTCCTCCGTTACATCAGATAATCTAATGCGTTACTGTGCAATTGACTCTTTATCGTGTGATCAAAAGTGAAGGTAATCCACTGACTGGCTTTAACAGTAGTTTTCCGACCCACTGGTTTAGATTCTTGAACTTATGGAGTGGACAAAAGAAATTCTTTCCTTTAACCTCTAATTCCAGTTACGTGGTTATATGTTCATATTAGTGGATAGTAATTGCTATTCATTATATCGAATCATTAAGAACAAAAGCTCCGACAAGAATAAACTATTAAGTGGCAAACTTTTATCACTTACTTTATTATTTTTTTTTCATCATAGCTTGATACCATACAGTATTTTCGTACAAGTATGGAATTTACAGCATGTGATGTCGGCAACACAAATTTAGCAGGCCGACCAGTGATATCAGGTGTGCGTCGGCCGGGGATCGAACCCCGGACCATGGTGGTAGGCGAGTGTCCTAACCGCTGTGCCACCGACGCACAAGTTCAAAACATGAATAAATACAAAACTGGATTCGTCGTCAGATAACAGGGTAACTGACAATGAAGATACGGTAGTAACTGATATTCAAAACGCATTTTATTCAGTCGGACTGTATTTTTTATACGAATGTTGACTTCAAAACTCTGCCAAGCACAAATTTACACTGAATTGAACATTTCCCACCCAGCACTCGTATGACAAAAGAAAAGATCGACTTATCCAAACTTTACTAGTAATATAGAGTTAACTAATATGTGTGAAAATGCTAATTAGAAATCCACAATGTACAGTGACTTATAAAAATTAAACAAGTGATTCAATAAAACTAAAATAATACAGTTAAATTTAGGAAGTGTTACTTTTTCCAGTTATTTTTAAGTATTATCGACTGACCAACTACTGAAATATCCAGAACAGCTTACAAAGACTATCCTTAATTAGCAAGATGTTCTTTAAAACGACCAACGATTATGTTTGCCATTTGTTGTAAGTACAACCAAAGTCGTTTCATATTTTTCAGATGGCCACCAGGCAGTCTAAAAATACTTATAGCCTGGAACTTACTATTATCACTAATAAAACCAACTAGTTAATCTCAAACTGTTTCGTGTGACCACTATGAACACTAAAACACGACTAAGAGAAGAAAAGCAATTGCACAAAAACACATATCTGCGACAGATGCTATTTGGTTCAGTCCAGGAAAGTGAAAATATTCAATGGTGAACGTGAAGATAAAAGCTAGTACCGCTTAGTTATGCGTCGTAATCTGCATATGTTTGTGGATCTTTATTATTTTTATCTGTAATAAGGTGTCACTCATAGATCATGTTAAGATTTGCCTGATATTAGTCAACTCATGTTTAGTTTAAATTACTTCTAATAACGCTAGCCAAATTTGTTAAAGCAACTAATTGTTTAAGACCGTATATATGTTAGGACTTAAAGTATTTTGTTAGTTTACGATGTTCCGAAGCTACTTTTAACTAGCATGAAACTAAATGTCTGTTTCAGGAATTAATACGCGAAGTTGACAAAGAGAAGACAGCGCTTAATGAGGGTATCACTTTTGACCAGTTCTGTGAAATAGCATCAAGAAAATATAACGACGTATACACAGAATCAGACATAATTGAAGCTTTTCGTACATTTGACGTAGAAAATAATGGTTTTCTGCCAGCTTCTGAACTTCGGCGTGCACTCTGTACAATGGGTGAAAATTTGACTGACGAAGAAATGGAAGCAATGCTGGACATAGCTAGAGTTGATAATGATGGAAATGTTCGTTATGAGGAATTTGTCCGTTTCATTGTATCCGACTTTTAAGATAATTCAAAAGCTAAGCTTCGAGATATGACTTTTATTTTGATTACTTTAGTATTCTTATTTGGTATGTATGTACCAATCTTCAATAGATGCATGTAACTAAATTTTAGAAATAAATATATACAGACAGATAATGGACATTTTACATCAATTTATTTGCGACAATGTATCAAATACGCTTCGGTTTTAAAAGCTCAAAAGTAAAGAACAACCAGTCGAATTCGAGTCCGGAAGCCTTTAAGACCAGACATTCAGTGTCCTTCGTAAGGGTAAACCAATAATGTGTGCCGCTTAGTAGCATTGATCCCTAAGTATTTACAGGTTAGAATGCGCTAACCAGATCATATCAGTCTTTTAGTTAGCGAGGTTACAACAATAAAAAGCAATGGGATTATATCATGTGCAGTGAAGACAGATTACAATACATTAAAAAAAGTATATTTGAGTATATTAAAGAATTAAACCATATTGTTGTTTGAGTGACATATGTTGCAACTGTTTTCCAATGTTCTGAAACAACTTGCTAGATGTATTCGATTTAAGCAACTCCATGAATTAATAAACTTTGCAATATTAAGTTAAGAAATCTGTAATAAGCTTCTGAATTTTAATTGTGTACAGTGTTATGTACTCTCAGCAATGATCTTTATTAATATGAAAACTCCTAAGAGACAAAAATGGAAGAGTTTTGGCAGTTGAAAAAGGACAGATTTATGTGTTAAGAAATTCAGATAAGAGAGATGTTGGGGAATCGGAGAGGTTGTACATGTCTTGATAAATTTTTTGTTTCAAACATAACTTCTTCCTAAAACTTTTCAAGAACAGATACTGTTCTTGAATTAGACGAGAAAGTTTCTCAAGTTCATAAAATATATCGTTATTAATATCTACAAGAGAATTCGACAAACTCTCTAGGGAATCGTAAGTATCTAAATACTTTTCGGGATAAATTAGATTTAAATGTTCCTGGGTGACACGATCTGTACTGATCCATTCCTTAGATGGGAAGTTAGTATCATCATTAAGTGATGTCAGACGCGTTTCATAGTCCTTCACCAATTGATCCCACTTTTGGCATTCACTCTTGTACCTCTCAACTGTTTCATCATCCATATTGTCATTGGTATCTATGGTTAATGACTGCTCTCTTGAAATGTCGTTAACCGAACAAGGAGCCTCAATGCGGAGACTTTTTCTAGTAGACTTCCTTTCCTGTGGACGAGGTACCTGTGAATCTGGTCCATTCTCTTCAAACATCATCGCAGAATTAAAAGAATCTGTGTAAGCAGACAGATAAAAATCCATTAATTAATAATTAAGACATTACTATAGTACTACAAATATCTACGTCTACTTACCCACATTGATCAATAGGTAGAGATAGAGTACACGTTTAAACGTTGGAAGTATGCAAAGTAATGTTACTTTTAAAGGCTTGTATCGACATAATTCGGATAGCGATCAGTCACAGGTCATTTCTTTTTTAAGTGGTGCTTTAACACCGAGAACAGAAGACGACACCTTAATTAACGCTATTTTTCGTACAACCGAATTCAGAAGCACTCACATTTGGCATTATACCTTATTTGGTAATATTAGGAGATAATTGAATTTTAAAACTAAGCAATTTGCATTAAACGATAAGTTTTAAAGGGGTCTGAGGATTTGTTAAGGACCTACGCTAAGTTCATCAGTAACAATTATAAAAATTGATAAGGTTGAATTTATGGTTCACCGATTGTGGTAAAAAGGCGAAAATATGTGATTCAGCGAAGAGACTCCTTTCAATGGATTTACTATCAAGCCGTATAAATATACACAAATAATTTTTATTGCTTGACGTTTAACGATCATTACAATGACAAATATTTTGTCACAATTCACATTATTTACAAAAATACTAAAGATATACTATTGTACTATCGACAAGCATTCCTCTTTTTCACTGGCTGTAATCTCTAGAATTACAAATATCTAACTAACGTAAGACGATAGAGCTTCACATCAAAGTTTCATTTTAAGTCGCCACACTGAAATAATACACAAAAGCAGTGTGGACTGTGATAAAAAGGTGGACAAAACTGTATAGGTGATGGAATGATCAGTTCAAGATTAATAGACGTATCTTGGATTCGGGGATGACAAAGGGTTAAAACATTCGTGCCATTTTAAACGATTTTGAGACATGCCACAGGATTCCAACTATTGATTCTTAGCATTCCGATGACTCCAAACAGGTAGCATATACTTTGTTATGTTGTTCAGACTAACAACTAATGACTTCAAAGACTGATGCTGAATTTCAGTCTGACTATCTCTAACTCTTCCACAACGCTTTAAATGACTGCCTATTGACAAAAAGAGAGGACTTAGCACGTTATAAATATCTTGATAGGTGAAGCTTTATAAACTCAGCTACTGACTTTACCTTCTGAATCTACTTTCCCCAAACGTAATAATACCATGCTGTTCCTTCCGATACGACGTTGAACGAACACATTCATGGTTGAAAATGTTTAATCCTTTTAACCACACTTGTTAAAGCCATGTTAAAACAGTCGTAAAGCAGGAAAGATCTGCTGGATAGTATGTCTTTTGTTAGGTACCCAGATCTCACACTTGTAACAAAGATGACGCAAACTCACTTATGCTAAATGACCCTGTTGTATTTACACTGATATCCCATCCGCCATCTCTAGTTTACGACTGATGCAACATGTTAGACAAGTGGTAGAAATACTAAACTATTTCACATCCTGTTGTTAGACTGTTGGAGGCAATCAGCTGAAAATCTTAGACGTAGTATTTTGTGATTGTTGACAATCGTCAGTGTATCAGAAGTCTTGATGGCGAGCCATCTAGTAAGGTGGCCACAATGCAAACTTGACTGATAGAATTCAGTCCGCACCAAAAGAAGGACTTGATACATGATACTAGTTACTACCTAATGCCCAATAAGAGTACTTCACCTCTTATATTAGACTAAGAGCCAGTGCAGACCAGTCCTATAGCACCATGTTATATTTGACAGGGGTGAATTCTATGCCATTACCAGAACACATGAATTATAGGCTAACATGAATGAAAAAAACTGAGTTCATTGCCATTACTTTAACTCTTGACACAAACCTACTTATGGACAAATATTATCCACTTATCAGTTAGAAGGTAGCAAGGTGAGAGACATCTCATTCATTGGGAAAATGTTGATAGCCGACGTTAGTGAAAAGTTTTTTAAATACTACATGTAGACTGAAATGTGCTAGTTATATCTTACGTCCGATATGTTGCTTACACAGTAGTCTTCCTTAATATATAATCTGAATACAAATAATCAGACATTCCAGAAGATATCTAGATAATGCATACTACAGTTCTGTAAGATGGGGGAAGTAAGATCCAGGCAGGGTGATTAAATTATACATAGCCTAATGCAAAATAGGGACGTGAAGCAACAACACAAACGACTAAACTAAATTTTTTAACATAGAATTGCGCATTAAGGTGTGGGAGCCCAAGATGTCGCCCATAAAGCAGAGAAAAAGAAATGCAAAGAAACTACAATAAGAAATGTGGAGGACAAAGAACAATTTCATACAGAATAATGGGGATTTAATGGGTCTGGGTCACAAAGACAGAATACATCTGCACGGAACAGAACAGCTTCGAAGGATATTACCAACAGTTTCCAACTCCAAGACCTCAACGACTGACTTTACTTCCTCGCTTAAAACTACACCTAATCTCATTATTACTTATCACATTATACCACTTAATGCGAGATAAAACACGCCAGTGAGACTCATCTTGAGATATGGTAGCTATTAATTTTAATGCCAGGATATACTTTATGACTCACTAGGTTATGCTAACAACTGAATTCCGCTTCAGATGCATTAGTGTCAACAAGACGTACTTCATTTTGTACTACTCTCTTCCTAGCCAGTGTATAGCAGTCATGAAAAATGGTAATGTAATAGCATTTAAATCTTTTATGACGATAATTACTCTAAACACTACTTTGTACCACAGGGAAAATTACCTATATGTATTAGCTATATATAGCTAATAGTTCTTATGAAAACTATGTAGTCTAACACATTTCTAGGGAAAAGTGGCTCTTTGAAATCAGTAAAAACCAACCTTTCAAAGTAAATGTGATTTATCTATAGTAATATTACCCTGCTTTTAGTGCACTAATAATTTTTAAAATGTTTTTTGGAACATCCAAATGACTCTAGTAAGTTATGTTTTACGATACAAAAGTATCTAAAATACAGAAACATCTCCTTCAAAAATTCATTTTGACTGAAACGGGTGACATAACACTATTTTATGTACATAGACAGAGCAATATTGCAGTCAAAATTTTATTTAAATTTTGATTACAGCTTGATGCCACACCGTATTTTCTGTACAAGTATGGCATTTCCAGCATGGATATCGGTAGCCCAAATTTTGCAGGCCGACCATAGATATCGGGTGTGCGTCGGTAGGGGTTCGAACCCCGGGCCGTGTGCATGGTCGGCGAGAGTCCTAACCACTGTGATGACGCGCGTCACCACTCACATGTCAGTTGGTTTTTAAAAACACCTAAGCAGCTATTAGGCTTTTGTGTACCGAATTTTACAGAGACATACAACCTACTTTTTAATAAGGGAGCTAAGTGCCCACCCCATTGGTTGTATTCCGCAATTAGAGGTAAATCAATATGGCGGGTGCCTCATTGTTTCGGTCAAGGTTATTTGTTCAATCGACAGTAGAAGCTGAAAAAAGTTGAAGTATTTGTTTTGCAAACTTTCTGTTCATACTGGATTTTCGGAAGCTTCATAAATTATTCATCAAGATGGTATACATTTTTAGCCTAGAAACATTTAATCGCCGAGTTCCATGTCAGACACAGATTTGTCTAGTCTTAACGACAAAATATTCCTAGAATGTCTCATGAATATTAGGTCCCTTCGAAGAACTGGCCTGATGAAAATCATTCATGCCACTCG